TTTCCCCCACAGCCCCACCAGCATCGATTTCATGATAGCAGCCATTCTTTCTGGGGTGAGGCAGAATCTCAGCATTGTCTTCATTTGCAGCTCTTTAATGACCAGTGATGTTGAACATTTTTTTCATATGTTTATTTGCTATTTCTACTTCTTTGTTTGAGAAATGTCTGTTCATTTCAGATTTTTCAAATTTTGGATTTGTTTTTCTTTTGATATTATTGAAAATTTCTACCTAACTGAATTTCCAATCACCTGAGTCTGTATACACAAAAGTATGCATAATTCTGTATAAAAACAGATAATTTTTACCATTTCTGGAATTAGTAGGATAGCATAGTGAACATAAGAGAAACTAATGATCCAGATTCCTTGGGTGTTGATCCCAAAGTGTGCCTCATGACTTTTGTGAACTGCAGCAAGTTATTCAACCTCTCCATGCCTCATTTACCTCTTCTGCAAAACTAATTCATAGAAAGGGAAGAAATAGACTTCATACTACTGCCATAAAGTTTAAACAACTTAATTAGATAATTAGTTTTATATATAATAATTATTTTAATCCTGAGAACTGAGGCGAAGCTCAGAGAGCACAGACAGGGATACAGTAAGCTGACCTAAGCAAGTGCTAGCTCTTCATGCAGTATTTTACATGTTCACAGCACTTGAAGTAAAGCTTCTAATCTCATTTATTTTTAGTCACTTAGAGTAAAACACATCTCTGCCTCAAACAACAATAGTTAACATTTCTCTCCAGCACTGTGCAAAACTTACTGATATGTATTACTCATTCAACAATTATTCATCAAATACCTGAGCTTCCAGGCAATATTCTGAGGACCTCAACTATGAACAAGACCGATAAGGTAACCCAGATAAAAAGTATACATTCCAGAGACAAAAGCTTAAAAAGAAGAAAAAATTCAAATAAGCTACCTAATTTCAGAGAGACCTAAATAATATGAACCAAAAAGTCAGGATGCTGGGCTAATTCTATCAGGAGTCCCAGTAGGCCAGAGGAGGAACAGGCAATGTGCTGAAAACCCAATGAGCACAATTGTGAAGGGAGCATCACTTCTACTCCCATTTTGTAAAAAGTTACTGAAACCACCTTGATGTTGCTATGATAAAATACACATTTTTGGGCAGAGAAGGGGAACCGGTCCCAGCACCTGGAAGGAAGCTCCCCGCCTCCATCCCAGGCTCCTAGGGCAGAGAAGCTCAGCTGGTCCCAGCACCCAGAAGGAAGCTCCCCTGCTGACATCCCAAGCTCCTAGGGCAGAGAAGGTGAGCCATGTGGGCACCAGAAGCTTCCCCCACACACCCGTGGAAATGAGAAGATACATAAACAAGCCTCAAAAACAGACTTCTGGATCACCTACAGCAACCCCAAAGGGAAATAAGATGGAATAATCTGATACTCAACCACCTGGACTCTCTGAACTGGAAACAAAAGAGGATCTGGGAAAAATGAAATCACAAATAATTACTCAGATAACAGCAAAGATTTTGCTCATGGTGCAAGACATGATTAATAAATCTAGAGAGGACACAGATAAAAAAA